TCAAACAGCTTGCCTAGGATTGAGGTAAGACTAACTGGCCTATAGTTTCCCGGGTCCTCCTTCCTCCCTTTTTTGAAGATTGGAACCACATTGGCCCTCTTCCAGTCCTCCGGCACCTCTCCAGTGCACCATGAGTGCTTGTAAAGCCATGCCAGGGGACCTGCAATGACCTCGGCCAGTTCCTTTAGAACTCTAGGGTGGAGATCATCCGGACCGGCTGACTTGAATATGTCCAGCCCCTCCAGAAACTCCATTACTAAGTCCTCGCTAACCCTTTAATAGAGTAATGGTGGATAGAGAAATGTAATGGCTAAGATTTTCTCAGCTTTTGTCTATATTCATTCAAAACCCAGCTGTCCAATTTTGGAGTGTTTGCAGGCCACATGCCTAGCACAAACCCTTTTCCCGACCATAGGCAGGCCCTAGGTCCCCCTCCCTGACCTGTGGGCTCCCTGGGCCGCATGGGTTTCATTGCCCATTGCCCACGGGCCAGAAGCAGGAGCTGGAGGAGAATGGGAGAAGCCTGCAGGCTCCAGCAACAGCAGCAGCAAGAATGGTGGGAGGAGTGGTGCCTGGGCTGATTTCAAATAGGCATCTGGTAGGCCATGAGTTGAACAGCTCTGAACTAAATTACTTGGGGGGGTGAGATGGTACTGCAGGCTTTATACATCACTACAAGATGCTCCAGGCATTTTTAAAGGGATTTATTTTTTTAATGCCGTTGGTGTTCCTAACCCCATATTTTTCCATTTTTCCATTTCTTCTCTCCTTTCTCTCTCTCTCCCTCCCTCCCCCTTGTTGCCCCACTCCCCCAACATGTTCAAATGGTATGCATTTGTATGAAGATTCCAGTGAAAAAGGAGTCCTCTCCATGGCCTGTGCGCTAAGATCTCTGCATATTACCTTAAATGGAATCAGCACCTGCTGGTATACATTCAGCTTTGTAAGATACAAAGGGCAAAGAGATTGACTTTGAGAACATTTGCTGCAGGTCTCAAGATGGGAAATTCTAAATTATGCTATGGAATTTTTAATAAAGAAATGTTTCTGTTGGTTAAGTATGTGTTTACTTGTAATTTGCTTCAGCTTTGTCTCTAAAGAGCATGTAATGAAAAAAGGCAAATTGCCAGGAACACATTGTTAGTAAATGTGAGTACTACTGTGTGATTCCATTCCTTTGACTATATAACTTGCCCATCTTGCCATCTTTATTCTACTTTCAGTTGTAGCCCTGATCATTTTTGAAACTCAGCATCATTTGACAAAGGCAATCTTTTATCTCACAGTTCACAACTGGACTCAGGAGGAGACACTTCAGTGGTTGATAGACTTTGTTGAACTTCCTCAGTATGAGAAAAATTTCAGAGACAGTAATGTCAAAGGAACAACACTTCCCAGGTGATTTTTTTCCCTTCTGAATTACTTTATAATATGTGCTATTCATGTTTTCTAATGATCTGCTCCCTCTAACTACTTTTTTCTGCTAGAGGACATGTATTTCAATCTACTCTTTTGTCCTTGCCCAAATAAAACTGAGGCACACATGGAATTCTGGAACCAGAAGTTCTATTTATTGCTGCCATAATATGTTTGAATGTCATCTGTTTCCAGCCAACAGTCCCATGTCTACACTTCATTTATCTCTTGTAAAAATAACTTCCTGATGATAATTTAACAAATTATCTCCTGGTCTCTGGTTTAACTGTAAATATAATCAGTAAAACTGACAAAAAGATCAATATGCTCTAGTATTGTATTTTCACAGCATAGTTCTTTGTAGCTCATGCAAAAACCTGGTATGTAACATTTGATTTATTGTCAACAGGATAGCAGTAAATGAACCTGCTTTTATGATCTCTCATCTGAAAATAACTGATCGGAGCCACAGGCAGAAACTTCAGCTAAAAGCCTTGGACGTTGTTTTATTTGGACCTCTCACACGTTAGTATATCTAGGGGTTTTATCTTGTGACTAAGATCTCAGTGAGGATATTTGTCTTGATTTCAACTGAGGTTGTATACTGTAGATTAGACAGCTCTCTCCACTGCGAATATATTAGTGCATTGTGACACCTGGGAAATTGGTTTGTAGAATTACAATATCAGAATGCTATTTTTGATCTGGCTGTTTGCAGTACAAATTTTACAGGGGTTTGTTAGGCTGGTCTAGTGATAGTGTTCTGCATCTTCCTGGGTGAGTTAAAGCTGTTCTTAGGCTGCATACACATATTCCAATAAACTGGGAGAACTCTCCCAAGGTTGCTCTCTGGGTAGAAAAACTTACCCAGAGATTTGTGTACAGACATTCAAACGCTGAAGCCCTGAAGAGTTGAGAGCTTGCAGTGCTGACACTGTGCAGCCAGGGATGGGGGCAGACTGTTCATACATAATGTGATCAGTAGGCTTCCTTAATCTGTTTGGTGACAGATTGCAGCAGTTTATAGAGCAGTCATGACGACTCACCCAGACTGCCTATGGTCAGCTTGCATTTACCTGCAGCACAATGTGGGAACGACAAAGGGGGGCGGGGTGTGTCCGGAGCAGCAGAGTCCGGAGAGTGACACACTGTCTCCTGGGGGAGGTGGGAGGTAGAAGCTGAAGGACTGTGTTCTCTTCTAAGAGAAGCCACGGCATATTCAGGCATTCACTCTCCCAGGAGAAATGCTCCTGGGAGTGATGTAACCCTTGTTGTTCCCAGGTTACTTTCTTCTGGAGTGGCCACTTTTGCCCTGAGAGAAGAAGCCTAAACATCTATATACTTGTGGTTTCACCTGCAAGAGAAACGACTCTCCCAGGAAAAACTGAATGTCTGTATGAGGCCTTAGATAATGTGTACTAGAAAAAATTTAACTAAACCGACCTCATTACTGAGATGCGGTCAGAGTAAAAACTAGTTTAGTTTAACTACTAGAGTTAAAACTGAGCTAAAACTGTTTGCTGAATTTGCACCAGGAAAACCATCAGACCTAGCTCATTTTTAGCTGATCTTTACCTTAATTTCCTTGGTCAAGACCAACATCTTGAACACTAATGTAACAAACAAATAGTTTTGAAAAGATAGTGGATGAAAAACTGAAGGCTGAGATGCTAAATAGGTACTTTAATAGAAGTTAGAAACATTTCGTTTAATACAAATTTTTGCTTTACAGGCTTTTGGTAAATCATGGGAAATGCTAAGCAAGAAATGTTTGAATATTAATTACAATGGACTTATAAGAGAGGGTTTCTCTGTTGATTTAGTACTTACTTTCAAAAACATTTTATGATGGGGGGAGGGGGAACAATAGTTTTATTTTTGTCTTTAATACCCAAGTGCACGCTTTTTATTGGACCTTCTCTAAGTGTCAGATTTGAGGAGCTGTTACCTGAAACCTGAAATTTGGCTCTGTCTGGGGCTTCTATAATTTATAACGTTCTGATGCCATCCATTGATTCAAGGATTCTAAAAATCTTGTTAGTACTGAAGTATTTCTTTTCATATTCTGAAATATCTGATACAGCTGTTAGATGGATGTTAGAAACCTAGGGCTAAAGGACTCATATATACCTGTTCATCAGAATGATATCAGAGGGATCAGCCTGTTGGTGCTGACCCAGACACCTTGTTCTGGGTAGACTCAAACCCTCAGACTGACCACGACTTCTCCATTCAATAGTGGGCAAATTTTATTGATACACAGTGATAGCGGATATGAATAATACAGGTGAGGCAAACAAAATATGCTCCCCTTCCCCCCCCAGTTCTGTATCTACCAGTCCTAGGGTTGTCACAGAGGGAGGATGTGTTTCGCCAGTATGTGAGCTTCACCCTGTGGTTCTTTCTTGAGTGTCAGATGTCAGGAGCCTGGAGGTCAAGGACCAAGGCCTCCCTCCCACTCCAATGAGGTGGGCAAGATGGGTTGGTGAAGCGCCCTCTGTCCATGGTGGCCTCAGGTTCACCCCTTGAGGACCCTTTGCTGCTCTGAAATCCCTCCTTTTGTATTCTTTTTCCTCCTCCTGATGACTCTTCATCTCCCGGTACCATTGATTGGTTTCCCCGTGGTCATCATATTGTCCACATTCTGTTCTGTCAGCATAATGCTTTGTTTCCTAAACTCATCGCATGCACACATCTTAATTTCATCTGTCTACCAAAACCAGAAATCCCAAGGGCTCTGCAGCTGGTCACTGTGACCTGATGCCAGTGCGGCAAACCTATCTCATGTTATGGAACACTGTTTGGTTGTTTTTAATTTCCCAGGATGTGTATGCCTGCTTGCTAATGATACAGTGGGCTTTGAAGGAAACTTTGTCACAAACAGGCTTTTAGAAACCAATTAACCCTTGCTGTTCCCCTGGACCATTATTCTAATGCATATCTAGTTTACCTACAAGCCAGTTCCTAAAAGCAAATCTCTAAATATCATTTTCTAGTCATCAAGCCCGCATAACAAAAATTATCGAAAAACCCCTACCTTGCTGTTAAAAAAATTGCCCTTTCTAGCATGAGCCTCATCATTGTATGTCTTAGTCCTGTTTTATTAACAGACCACACTTTTCAGTATACATTATGTCTTGATACAAAATGTCAGTGGATGGAGTAATGCGACTTACCCCTGTTTTGTTTGCAGTTAGGAAGGCTAGAATGCATCAGGACTGCCAGCCTACCAGATACTGTCCAGAACCAATATGTGTTAGATAATGAATGTGCATATTGGCATAATATCTGCTTGCTTGATTATTGAGAGACTTTGGCATCTTTTGAGTGTGTAACATATTGATCCTCAGGTGTTCAGCTACATTGTCCTTCCTGCACAATATCACTGTTATTAATTAGGAATGGCACACATGGATATTTATGTCTTCTCTGCAATCTGACTCCATAAACCCAGGACCTTATCAAGCGAGAAACGTTCTTACTGTTCCTTTATAGAAGAATTCAGTTAAAGTATATGAACTTTACTTGTTTTGTATCGAATGGGTGAATTGACAAAGGTGGCATTTGAAAACTTCTATCCACTTGGTCTTTAGCCATATTTAGGAAAGGATTTGCTGTCCCATCATGTTACTTCACTAAATTTCTTCTTTTGGATTCCTGAGGCAGCTGCACCTTTTTGTGTAACTCAGAATTCAAGGGGTCCAGTTGCATTGTACAGTCTCTGAAATGTCAGTGCCTCTTCATGAGCAGGAGGCTGCTTGTCATTTTTGGCCTTAAAGTGGGTACGTAGTGCCCCTGGAATATTTTTAAGTGCATCTTGATGGCTATTTTTATGCAACCATTTAAATATTGCCATACCTACATGTAAAAGGAATAATTTATTTTATATCACTGAATCCTTGGCTAGATATCTTATGTTTTGTAATAGCATATAAACAAATTATGCCTTTTTAAAATTCAGATCAGACCTCTTTTACTTCTACAGAAATTTAGTCTGGTTAATTACTTTAATTTGATCATTTTTGGATACAAGAGAGATTTACAGCTATATATCTTTAGCTGGGCAGCCAAATTTTTAAATTCATATTGTCCTTATACTAGTCACCTAGAACCTTATGCTAATCTGAACCTGATCCTTTCCCTCATTCACTTATGGGGTTCCTGTTAATCTCAATGACTGCACTGTATATGGAGGGGAGGGACTTTGGAATTGAACCTGACATTCTTCCCAGTTACACAGTTTGATTACTGATGAATTATTCTGTAGCTCATGAAATAGAAATAGTTAATGAAGCCTCCAGTGTCAGTGTATCGCAAAGGTTTTGTTAACTTTCCAATATACAGTGTGCATTGTTAATCTACTATAAATGAAGTTTAGCCACAAATCTCCTTTTGGAAAATGCCCCCAAAAGAATTTCAGAAGGGCACATTGGAGAGAGCTTGTGAGTTATTTAAGTTAGAACCCACTTGGTGACTGCCATATTCCACCACTTTTATGACTGAAGTGAAGTCATTTCCATAGCATACCTTTTAAATCTGTACTAAATAATTTGTATAACTATTTGTACAGGCCCCCCTCACAACTGGATAAAGGATTTTGCACTAATAATTTCTATAGTAATTGGTTTTGGAGGCTGCTGGTTTGCATATACTCAGAACAGGACCTCAAGAGAACACATCATAAAAATGATGAAAGACTTAGAAAGCCTCCAAAATGCAGAGCAAAGCCTTCTTGACTTGCAAGAGAGGTATGTCAACCAGAAAAGATTTAAGTCTTAGTTATTTGTCTTAATGTGTTATTTTGAGGTACAAATGTTTTCATATCCTATGTAAAGCTGTAAACTAGGGGAAGAACCGATTAGAGACAACACTAGATTTGTGCACCCTTTGGGTTTTTTGGGAGCGGGGGGGTTGTTCCACCAGTTCAGCCGCAATTGTTGAATATGTCTGACATATTGCAATCTCTCTCTGATATTTTAAATTTGATGAGAGAAGGTGAATCCAAAAAATACTAAGTAAAAGTGTTATGTTATCCATTGATAGCAAAAGAACTTTACTTGGAATAGCCTGTTTTTCATGCATTTTCTTCCCTACTTTATAGCTTGTTACAGTCAGGCAAGATTTCGTGAAAACTGCTTACTGGTTTTGGGGGGTTATGGATAAGACTATACCTTTTTCTTATAGAAGCTGTAATTAAAGTTCTTGTAATAAACCAGACTGTACTTCTCTCTTTATACCTTTAAGTATATACAAAGGACAATAATTCAGATTGGTGTGCCAGATATGGGATTTTTGTTGAGATTTGAATTATAAGTTGTGATGATGAATGGCATCTACATATTAAAATATCTCATAGTTTTTCATTGTTCAGTGGAATATTGGAATTTTCAGTCTTTTCTGAGACTTATTTTTGTTCAACTTCAAAGGCTCATAAAGGCACAGGAAGAAAATAGAAATGTTGCTGTAGAAAAGCAAAACCTGGAGCGCAAAATGATGGATGAAATCAATGATGCAAAACGGGAAGCACAGCGCCTGAGGGACCTGAGAGAGGGAGCTGAATGTGAACTTAGCAGGCTCAAGTATGCAGAGGAAGAACTAGTACAGGTATCTGAATTAAGGGTCACTTTAGTTTTTGTAGATTTCATGATTGGGGCTTTGTTTAATTAACTTCCTTCTTTTAAATTATTTTTCTGTCATTAGGCTTGTGATCCTGGAGGCATTTTCTAATCTGAACATGTTTCATTGCTTCATAGCCACAGAAGCAGTATGCAGTAGTAGCCTAATTATGCAGACACATGTAGACAAACTGTATAACAAAATGTTACTCAAGTATAATGAAAAACAGTTCCTCATATCTGAGCACCTATACATGTGCAGCAAGGCTGCTCTGATGCACTGTAATTACATCATGTTGGAGCAGACTCAATTAATCAAGTCTGCTGGAGTGTAATAATTATCATGCTTCAGTGTCACATGTATCAGCATCTCCATGTTGAAAAATGGTGGCAGGGGCACTTTTCAGCTGCTATTTTTCAGTGCAGGGATGCTGATACATATGCCACTCCAGGTGCTTTAGTTGGAGCAGCTCTCTGAGCTGCTCTAATTAAAGCACCCCCCTCACGTAAATAAACGCCCACTTATGCCCCTTGTTCATAACTTCTGTGGACCAAAAAATGCCAAGATCAAATTGTAACAGAACGACAAGTTCACAAAGCTAATAAAGAGGAGGAATTCTGAAGGCTGATGCAATATACATAAATTTGCATTCTGAATTTTAGAAATGTCTCGGTGTTTTGCTTGAACACAGCCAGTGCCACATGCAGTAGCTCTGAAAATCCAGACTATGTCAGATGTCCTGAAGGAAGAGTCTTAGGATGATGACAGTGGCCATGGACAGGTGTTACATTTGTGACAAGAGGGTTGCCATCATGGGAAAGTGGCCCCCTGCGCTTCCCTGGGTTGACCTGGAGGAGTGTGGGAGGTGGGAAGTAGCTGTGCCTGCAGCAGCAACCACCCTGGGGGCTCAGGAGTGTTGCCACTGTGGGAGAATGGTCCCCAGTGTTCCTTTGGGATCAGCTTATTGGTGGAGCTAGAGGGCATTCTCCCAGTCTGGAACCCTCCCCAGGCACTCTGTGGCATCTGCTGCTTTTTTGACAGCCTGCTCTATTCCCAGCCAGGGGGGAGAGCAGGTAGACAATCAGTGGGTTTGCACAGGGTCCAGAGAGACCCAGGAATCAGCCTTTTAGTGCCTCGTAGCTGGAGAGCTCACTTGTGCAACTCCCTAGCCAAGGGGCTGAAATGCATGTATGCTGCAACCCTTGGGATATTTTTCTAGCATTAAGAATTTCACAGAAATTTAGTGCTAGAAATAAATGTCTGTCCATGACCTGTGGCATTTTAAAGTTGACTCTCAATTACCTTCAATATTAACAGAATTTGTGGTGATTTTTGCATTTCTAGGTTCGAATGGCTTTGAAGAAAGCTGAAAAAGAATTTGAACTGAGAAGCAACTGGTCTGTTCCTGATGCTCTGCAAAAATGGCTCCAGTTAACACATGAAGTGGAAGTGCAGTACTACAATATTAAAAGACAAAATGCAGAAATGCAGCTATCTATTGCTAAAGATGAGGTACAGACAATGTATTCACTTTTGAGGTTTTTCAAAACTTTAGGAGCAAAAGCCTTGTTGACCTGGCCAGTTTTACTAGATAAATGAACTTGTGGATGTAAACATTTTAATTGGATAGAATGTTGTCTGGTCACGTTTTCTGCAGTTAAAATATAAAGGTCCTCTTCTTCACAAATACCTACTGCCTTTGTTTTTTGTTTTTTTTTTCAAAACAATGTTTTTGTCATCTGCATTAAATATACAGCTCTTGGTTTCATATTTTATTTTGCATTTTAGGCAGAAAAAATAAAAAAGAAGAGAAGCACTGTCTTTGGGACATTACATGTTGCACACAGCTCTTCCTTAGATGAGGTGGACCATAAAATCCTTGAAGCAAAGTAAGAGTATTAACTAGATGTGTATTATCAATTTTTTATCAGAAATCATGGAGGTCACTACAGATTATTTGAATTAGAATTTTATTTTACTTTTAAGTACAGTATCTTCTGAAAAGTTTAATATGAGCTAGTGTCAAAGGTTATCATTGCTTATGAGACAGCAGGGATTACACTGTTCTACTGTTCGGTAGAATTGTCAGATGGTGTGTACTGTTGTCAGTGCTGATGACAAAGCAAATAACTGTGCGTGTGTTCTTTTTTTTTTTTTTTTAGAAAAGCACTCTCTGAACTGACAACAAGTTTGCGAGAGCGTCTTTATCGATGGCAGCAGATTGAGAAGATCTGTGGCTTTCAGATAGCGCACAACTCAGGATTACCGAGCCTGACCTCTTCTCTTTACTCTGATCACAGTTGGGTAGTGATGCCCCGAGTCTCCATTCCGCCTTACCCAATAGCTGGGGGAGTTGATGACTTAGATGAAGACACTCCTCCAATAGTTTCACAGTTTCATGGTATGTCCCCGCAAAGGGAGACATTAAGGAAGTGTAGCTAGAGTAGTGAGAAATAATGTGGTGAAAAGAAATGAGCAGGAGCTTTGGAAGAGGATCAAACAAAGGAGATTTAAAAAAAAAAATCTGTGGGCCATTTTTGACAGGAAATAGAAACAAGTTTAAAAAAAAGATAGGACTTAGTGTTGGTGCTCAAACAAGTTGCCAGAGGCAACAAGAGGCAAGGGTGTGAATTCACAGCATACTCTGTTACTTGCTTATGTGCTTGCTTTCGCTGCCCCTGTGAATGTGTGATAGCTTACACTATGGATCTTCATAGATGGGTAAATGAAACTTGGTATTTATCACAGGATAGAGTATATCCATAAGTGCACTCTTAAATGCAGAATAGATTATGCTAAATTCACACCCTATCTTGCTTTGTAATAACGTGTGGTGTCCATATTTAATGGGGGAAATTTTTAAAATAAGATTTTTTGGAATGACAAAAATTAGAAGCCCAATAAATGGGCTGGCACTAAGAGTAAAGATTGAAAAATACTTCCTGTTACTGTTGACTCTAAAAGAAAAAAAAAGAGGGAATCTTAAAAATAATGTTTTTGTAAATCTGGCTATGCAAATTGGATGACAAATTTGTGTATAAAATCCAAAATGTTCAAATTGGTATATAGTTAAATTTTAATCCATTTTTCTACCATATTGGAAAACAGACTAGCTGGTAAAAAATAGGAAGTTGTCCCTTAATATTTTTGTGAGGATGTGTTACGTAGCTTTCCAGACATCTAACAAGTGAAACAAATTAGTGCTATTGTCCAGAGAAGTTTTCAGACAAAATGTTTGTGTGGGATGCAACTCGTTATTTGCAAGAGGGTGGTAAGTCAGCAGTGGAAAATAGTCCATCTTAAATTAAATTGTAGTTGAAAAATATACATTGGGGATTCAAACCACCCTGATGATGTAGTCATTGCATCATCAGTAGACACCAGGCTGTTAGAATTGTGATTACCTAGACAAGGAAGATGACTTCACACTTGGCTGCTGAAGACAAAAAAATTCTCAAGATGTAAAGCCTAAGAAGGGATGAAACTTTCTGGCAGTTACTGTCACAATTTTCTATTGATTCTACTTTCTTTTAGCTATAGAGTGACCACTAAAGAGGACAGTCTGGTTGTCCTCTGTCCTCTATTGATACAAAACCCGTTGCCTTTATGTCCTCTATGTTTTTCTTGAAGAGAAAAATAGAGGATATAAAGGTGTCAGGTTTTGTATCAGTAGAGGACAGAGTAGCAGAAAACCAGAATGTCCTCTGTGATGGTCACCCTATTTAGATACCTTTTAAGGATTCTCAGGGAGTTAGGAGCATGTAATGGTTTTGGACACCTAACTTATTTCAGCTTTTGAAGACTGTGATCTTAATGTGTTGTCTTCCACACTTGAATGCTACATACTCTTAAGCTTCAATTATCTGTTAACAGCAATGTAAAAATGTGAAACTGGTGTGCGTTTCCTACCAAAGGTTTGCTTATAAGCTAATAACCAATTTCTTGGCTTAAAATTGCCAAAAATCAGGCACCTAAATCATATGTGGAGACTTGTGATTAGATTTCAAATAATGAGCCCCTCCTACCTGTCAGCACTTCTGAAAAATTCAGCCATAGTTTCTAGGGCTGCCTATACACACGCTGGGGTAGGTGTGCATTTTAATTAGAGCAGTTTCCGGAGAGCCTCTCTAATTAAAATTCTGCAGCGTCACGTGTGTTAAGCCCCAAATGGCCACAGGGTGCTTTTAACTAAAGCTCATTCAACGAGCTTTAGTTAAAATGCCCCAGTGGCCATTTCTAAACCCATGGGGCTTATACATATGTTGCTGCAGCAATGCTGGAACGTTTTAATTAAAATGTGGAGCAGCAGATTAATTGAGTCTGCTCTGTTGCATTCGAATTGGAATACAGAGCATGTGTATAGGCACTCCTGTGGCTTTGGATGCCTAGTTTAAAGAATACCAGTTCTAGCCGCTGTATTTGCTTATTTCTTAGAAGATGGTAAATGAGAAAAATAACAGCGGGATTAAGGAGATAGGATTAGAAGAACAGCATCTTTTAAGATATACTAAATGTTAGAAATCTTTATTGTAATTATCCACACTTCCACAAATATGATTACAAAGTTCCTATCATTTTAAATTATTGTTTTATTGGTCAAATTTTACCTCGATTTGGATGTTCCCATTTCATTACAGATGCAGTCATATTTGGGTTGGCTTGAACAGGTGGCTAGAATGCTGTTTTTCCATATTTTTTATAATATGTAAATAATTCTTTGGGTTCAGGGTTTTGTGTAAAGGATACAGCCCCATTTTTACTGTAGAAGCTTCACCAGAGAAACTATATGGTTTCAGATTTTTATCAGAGGTGTGTGTGTGTGTGTGTGTGTGTGTGTGTGTGTGTGTGTGTGTGTAAATGAAACAAACACTGTTGTTCATTCTTGAAAGTACCCCTTTCTTTATTTAATTTATTTAATTTTTTAGTTGGCAACAATTGGTAAATTATTCCTGTCCTCTAAACAGTAGTAGTCGCAGTTTATTTACAGCTTTTGCTAAAACAATACTAAACAAAAGTAAATAATGCAGACAATCTGTAAGTAGGGCACTAGTCTTATTAACAGTTACTTCATTCATGAGGCTGCAAGCATATAATCCAGATAGGTCAGTAATAAGGTGTTGCTGGACCCAGTTTCTGCAACTCACTTCTCCGGACTTGGATATCTTTGTTTTTCCACCAGTCTTTCTTCATGTAGCACAGGGGTGGGGAAAATCTGGCCGCACAGGCTGAATCTAGCCCATGGAGGGACTTTGACTGGGCTGCGGCGGATCCTTCAGTCCTGCCTGACCCAGGTGCCATCTGGCCCATGGTGTGCATTCTGCTATCCCCGTGCACTCAGTGGGGCTAGGGCAGCTCCTTCCACTTGTCACTGCTGGCCCTGGCTCCCATCCCATGGAGACTGGCGGGGACCCATATGCGCTGCCCTGACCCCAGTCCACTCTGCTCCCACTTTAGCCAGGACCTGCACTCACTGGCCCAATCCTGGCCCACTGTATGCTCACTTTGGACTGGTCCACCCATTCTGAGTGGCAGTGTCCATGCAGAAGCTGAACTGGGCATGGGGGGAAAAGTGGCCACCTCCCTCTCACTGCTGCCAGGCCCAGAGCCTGTGCCTGGGCTGCCCTGAAGCTCCTCTTCACTGCTGTTACCAGTGCTGCCTCTGGGCCACCCAGCAGGGCAGTGGTGGCAGTGAAGAGGAGCTGCAGGGCAGTCTGATGTGGACTCTTGGTGGTCACAACAAGAAGGGCCTGGCAGTGGCATGGGGGGAGCAAGCTGTTTTTCTCTTGTACCCAGCAGCAGCTTCTGCCCCACTGCTGCCACTCATCATGGATTGACTGGTCCAAAGCAGGCTGGGGCTGTGTGCACTGGTTCCATGCTGGTACAGAGCTGGTTTGCTCTGGCCAGGGCAGGTTTGGAGCAGGCGTGGGACAGGCTGGGGCTGGGAACAGGGCTGTGTACTTGGGTCCTGGCTGGTTCAGAGCTGGTCTGCTCTAGTCTGGGCGAGTCTAGAGCAGGTTCAGGGCAGGCCAGGGCTGGAGTTGTGTGCTCAGCTGCTACTGGGCCCTGGTGGTGGTGGAAGTGGTAAGGAGGAGCCTCAGGGCCTGTGGGCTCCAGGTTTGGTGAGCTGTTGCTCAGGGGGAGGTGGCAGCCCTTAGAGCAAGCAGCCCCATCCCCCTTTTCCCACCCCAGTGAGATGCCACAGCACTCAATAAGTTGTTGTTTTTTTTCTGTGGATTTCATAGGCATAGCCTGGATTTTGCTGAATCCAGCCAATGCCCATGAATCCAGGGAATTGTGAATTCATTAGTCCCTACGTGTAGCACAACATATATCTTTCTTCGGTTAAAGAGAAACTAGAAGCATTACTAATATGCTAGGCAACTACCACTGTATTATTCAGTTTCAGATAAAAGCAAAAAAACAATATTACTATTGGAATGTTCACTCATTTGCTGGAGTATATATAAAGTTTTAAAAACACAACAAACCAGGCAAAAAGTAGTCAAAGGATATTGTACCATTTGTCCTGTAGTCATTATAGTTAAATGTAGTTCAATGTCAGATTCTGAAAACAACATCTTGCCTTCTCGATTGTCTTGATAGTGCCTCCAGTACTTCACTGTCATTCATTTCTGTAGCTGAATTAATATTACCACACCTGAGTTAAGGTTTTTAGCTAGAGCTAAGAACAGTCTGTAAGATTGTAAAATTGGAGAGAAACATTACCAGGAACAGACAGCAAAATTGCAAAAAAAGGATAGTTTGGATAGTGAAACATCAAGACTCCTAGAAAGGATAGACAGTTGTTAACACCTGTGGAGTCAGGAGAGATTAACAGTAATAAAGGAGATGATAATAAGCCATGAGTCAATTGACTTGCTTAGCACTATTTGAATAGAAATGGGACTGCCCCTCTCCAGCATTTGGTTTTTAAGTTTGGGTGGAGCAGGAATCAAAGGCAGGTACATCTGCATCACTGCTCCTCTCCTCCATCCACTCCTGGTATGGTGTATGTATTGAAGCATATACACCTGAAACTCATAACTGAACAAACTACAATGAATTAAAAGGGGCCTGGGACTTTTGTTGAACAACTACTCCACAGTAAATGTATGCTTGTTTTTACTCTGTGGTAAGTGAATGCTGAACTGAGGGAGCCTAGTCCTGGGTTTATTCTGGGTAGTCTTCCCAGGTTTAGCTTTTATTTACCATAGGTAGATGGGTTGTTATTGTGAAGCATCTGCTTCATAAGTCCCTTTCCCCCTTAACTTGCTGTACTTAATTCATTTTATACCCTCAGATATCACCATATATTTTATCCTAAAAAAATCAAGAAGGGGAACAGCCAGCCATCACTATCCCATAACACTGATTTATTAAAGTAATTCTGATTTTGTATACACAAGCATTTATTTCAGTTTAAAGGGATACCTACTCCATGGTTATGCCAGCTTGTAACTTAATCTTCAAAGCTCACTTCACTATCACAGTTCATCTTATAAAAACTGCAGTCAGATTCTGTATATGCTCATTTTAACTAGTAATTTTCTGTAACATTGACAGGTCAAGAGCTGCGTTCAGCTTAGAAATAAATGAAGCAAAATTTAAGAACTGTAGATGTATAGGCTTCCAGAGAGCAGATGCTATATAACATTCTGTCCTTGAACTCAGTTACTGCTCAGTTCAACAAAGTGTGCAAAAACCTGATAAGTTGAGGTCAGGTGCAGCTGCACATTGTAAGCTGTGACTTCCCAAGTGACCTTCTGCTTGGAGAGTAGGGTGGTAACTAAACCTACTGTGAGATTCCAGGAAGTGTAGAAGCTAGTGGAATTATCTGCCTTGTCCTTGCTTGTCATGGTACAAATCTATATATAAGCATGTAAGCAAATAAGTTGATACACAGGAAGAGACAATATAGGTTATCCAAGGTTAAAATGGCTTCTCAGGAGGAAAGGTGCATGTGGTATCAATCCAGCCTGATTTGCAAAATTACTGAATTTCCTGACTTATTTCCTTAGTTAAGTAGAGTAGGCAAATTTGACACCATTGTGAACAAGGCCATCCCTGTCCAAGTGAAGTATTGCAAAGCTGCCATGGTCTTGGTATGAAGAAGTCTACAAATTTTGAACGCCATAGCAGTGAGTCTGAGTAATTCCATGGGTTTATTTTCACTTGAGTGGTCCTGGCCTGCTTGCTTTCCAAATAAAACAAACTGAAAGGCTTTCCTGGACTGCTGTGTGTGTGGCCTCTTGTCAGACAGTTCCTTAATAAAGTCTTAGTTTGCTCCTTCATCATTTGACAAGGAGGAACTGTACTTCAGCATCGTTGCTGTTGTAGTAAGTCTGGGGAAAAGAAGCTTATCAAAGAGGAAAAAAAAATACCAATACAAATTTATTGCAGTTAAAACCAGACGATATAAATCTGGCATCTGCTCAATATTTAGCAGAAAATTCCTTCTATATATTTGGCATTTTCTATTGAGACAGCAGTAATTGGCAAGTCTTGAATAGGTCAGAGTTCATAACTGTAGCATACATGATTTTAAATAAATTTAATTTACTCCAGACACTTGTTTTTTAGTTAGGTTTACTTGTTTGAAAAATGTGCTTGAAAAAGTGGTTTCCTCTTGTTTAATGTTGGTTATTACACAAGTGAAATACAGGAGAATAATTTTGTAACATATGATAATGTAATACCACCATTTTAAACGTACAAACATGCAGGACCAGATTCTCAATTGAGATCTGCCCTCTTCATGCTGCTGGGAGAGGGGGGGTAGGGGGCACATAAGGAGCCAGAATGTGGTTGCAAATAGCCAGAGGGATGCTGTGGTGACACAAAACTGCTATATTCAGGTCCTGGATTCCCACAAACCCCTCTGGGAGAGAGGGTGTGGCAAAGCACAACTTTGCTCCACCTTTCCTTCTGTTTAAGTAGTGGTAATTGAGCACTTTGTAGCTGTTCACAGATGCATTGATCCTGAAGATCATTTATCTAATATGTCACTCCTGCAAGAAAAAGTATCTGCCTATAGGGTTTTCAATAATCATGTTAACATCAAGTAACACCGTTTTTTTTCCCCCCCCCTTTCCCTCCCAGGGTCCATTGTAAAGCCTCCCAGCACCTTAGCAAGAAGCAGTAGTTTGTGTCGCTCGAGGCGCAGTGTTGTGCCATCATCTCCACAGTTGCAACATACTCAATATACTCCGCATACTTTGCACTCCCCTGACCCTGACATCCTTTCAGTGTCAAGTTGCCCTGCTCTTTACCGTACTGAGGAAGAGGAAGAAGCTATTTACTTCACTGCTGATAAACAATGGTATAAAGAATACTGGCATGTTATTGGAACTCTGGTAGAATTGCTCTTAACTATTTAGAGTAGTGTTAGAAGCTGAACTGAGCCAGAAGGTATAGTAGCCAACAGGCTGACAGCCTCAGTTATTGTGACTCACTGGGAACACTAAATGGACTTTTCATGGTCAATACAGCAGGTAGAGTTTAGGATTTACCACAATCTTAGATGTATTGAATCAGTTCAAGTTCTTAGCTATATTTTTTCTGATGGGGACCGAAAGCAGTCTTAGTTATCAAGCTGAGAGAAAGTGGACTGCAATGCAAACCTTAGTCAGAAGAGAGGTCAGAATGCTTTCTTATACTTTATACCATAGAGAGCTCTCTGCTCACTGTTGTTGCTACCTTTTTTTTTTCTTTTTCTAAGGAAAGACAGAGTCTTTTCATGGGGTAACAAATGGGTTGACATTGTATGTTGAGGACTTTTATTCTCAAGTAAACTTTCAAGTATAATCACCCTGAGTCCATTTGCATGGGTTTCATAACTTTTTAAAATTTATTCACAGAGCTTTTGTTCCCTCACAGTCCATCTTTCAGCTGTTTATTTCTGAAGTGGCACAAGAAATTGGGATATCACAGTAACTTCTAAGACAGCATCCTGTCACCATTATAAATATAAATTAATTCTTTTGCTGTTAGGATTAAAGAGGAGATTTGGAATTATTTAAGCACTGGCAATGCTTAACAGTAAAGGGGGGATGCTAATATTAGCCAAATAAACTTTTAAAAAAAAAGTGTGTGTCAAATTTGTGCCAGAGGTAAAACACTTGAATTAATTTGTTTCTGTCCATTATGTTTGTGTCTAATTACTAGTTAGGGAAAAATCTGCTAGTAAAAGCAGGAGCTCATAGGAGAATATTTGTCTGTTCTAAGACTTCATATGCTTGTTTAAATGTATGGTTATACTGTACAGTGTATTTGTAATTGGAAGTTTTAAATTCAGAGGAATAGTAGTTTAGTAGATAAGGTCCTGGCCTAGAACAGAGGTGTTCCTTGCTTTGTCACATACTTCATGTGACTTTGGTCAGATATCTTTGTTCTGACACTGAGAAATAAACCCAAGAAATTGATGCTTTTGGGTGCTGTAATAATGAAGGCCATATAAGTATCTTCAATAGATAAGAAGCTGGGTGAAAAAATGCTGCTTTTTTCGCTGGGACTTCTCTCTCGGTTTTTTCTCTTTTTTTAGTTTGTTTACATTCATTTCCCCTCACAAACCTTAAATTTTAGGAAAGTAGGTATCTTCATAGTAGACTTTGGCATGACTAATATTTTTAGAATGTGGAAATACTTTATTTGGATGATTGTTGCTTTTCTACTTTGAAATGCAAATGACTGATTCTGAACAGATCAAGGACTTTTACATGTGCTCCGGGGGTGGGGATGGTGCATTAAGTAGAGTGCTCTAATTATAGAGCTGTAGCATCTGGCGTATTAACATCTCCATGCTTCAAAATAGCAGCAGGGGCGCTTGAACTAAAGCTCGTTCAGTGAGTTTTAATTCAAGTGCCCCCACTGCCATTTTGAAGCACAGGGGTGCTAATACATGAGACACGAAGGCTGGCTGAAGCACTGTAATTACCATGCTCCAGCAGACTCGATCAGTCAAGTCTGCTCTGATGCACTGTAATTACAGTGCATTGGAGCAGCCCCACAGCATGTCTACAGGCACCCATCATGTTTGGCTGAGGTTTAAAGTTATTCAACTTTTATGTTTTAATAAGTAATACCATTTTATTGTGGACTTTAAAGTTATACTAAAATTTACTCATTTAGTAGCAGTGTGACAAATAAAATTACAAGGAAAAACTGGCCACTTCCCATGCCATAAGATTGCATACATAAAATTCGCTTTCCTGAATCCGATATGTGAACTTATTCTGATTCAGATGTTATTCCAGGTATCATTGTAAGTTTAAACCATACAGATGCCTAGTTATTACATATCTATCTATCTACCTTTGGCACTGATAGTGGAATAAATGAAGTAAAGTTTGCAGTCTCATGGCATATATTCTAAACCTGTTTTCCTCTCAACTGCATTAAGAAAATTGTTGTCTTATAGTCTCTCTCCCTTCTCGTTTTCTCTGACACAGGGAAGTACAGGATACCAGTTCAGAATGTGACTCCTTAAATTCATCCATTGGAAGGAAGCAATCTCCTCCTTCAAGTCTTGAAATACACCAAACGCTGTCTCCTCAAAAGATCTCCCGGGAGGAACTCTCACTAGAGGAATCATCTACAGGAGACTCCTCATCTCTGACTGCAGATATTTCAAGGGGCTCTCCTGACTGCATAGGCATGACAGAAACTAAAAGCATGATATTTAGCCCTGCAAGCAAAGTGTACAATGGCATCCTGGAGAAATCTTGCAGCATGAACCAGCTGTCTAGTGGGATCCCAGTCCCAAAGCCTCGCCACACCTCATGCTCCTCAGCCAGCAGCGATTGCAAACCTGCTCATGAGGCCTCCCCTGTCCCTCGAATAAGTAGCATCCCACAGGACCTATGCCAGAATGGTGAAAAAAACAAAAAGCCCTCCAAAATAAAAAGCCTCTTTAAGAAGAAGTCCAAGTGAATTGGGAAGGCAAAACCCCACAGAGTGGTGTGATTAAACATTTAATTTTTTAAAACTTTAGGGAGGTAGTTACTTTGGGGCATTTCAGACTGGATGCCATAGCAGGAAAGCTGTATAGGTCAACTTTACTATTTAAATGACTCCAGTGTCAAAGATCATGCCAGCTGTCAAATCAGAGATGATTAAAATGTTCAGTCAGTTTACAGTCATTTCTGCTTATTTATTTCTGCTTTGTTTTTAGTTTCAGCCTTTTTTTTTTTTTAAAGCCACTTTGGACTTGCAAGCTTTAATGGACTAGTAAGCCTGTGTGGGCTTGCCAAAGTTTCTTGTTTACCAGAGCATCTTCTTATCTTTCCACAGAGCTAGGACATTTGTCCACTGGACAGAAGTAACATAAGGAAGTAAAACTAATTAAATTGCACTACTGTTTTTCAGACTGGAAAAGTATTTCTGCAAGTGAAACTGTATGATTTCTTAACTGACTGAAGAGATGGGTCTTTTCACTTTTAGATCTTTTGGAATTTTTAAGTAAAAACATAAGCTTTCTAATTGCCTTGATTTCTGGAAATGGAAACTCCATGCTTTTATTATGGGAAGCTTCATTAGATGCATTTATTATTTGAGCGGTTCAAGTCCTGCTGTAAAGATCATGTTTTTTTCAAGGGCTTTCACTGTGATTTTACTGCATTGCAGGCTGTATGATAAAATATAGAGATAATTTAACAAGAGAAGAGGCTCTTGATTCCTTATGCAAGTAATGAATATGAAACTTGAGCGAAAGACTTAAACATTCACATGCTTAAAATTGGGGTTGGGGGGATACAGCACTTGTTTACAGACTTTGACAGACAAAGGATGTTCAGTTTGTGAAAATTTGTACTGTGGCAAAGATAATAAATCAGAGACGTCATTGTGCTTGGGGTTGCATTAGCTGATATTCTGCTTCTGAGGTCCTGTTTATTGAAAGCTGTTTTAGGCTGCTTATGCTTATTGCAGTGTGTAAGTTACTGTCATTTTTGGATCAGCTATTAATGTCTCAATGTCCTACTTTTTGTAAGATTTCATACTCTTTATTTTTGTATAGTTTAAAGAGTTAGTTGTTCAGATTTGTCTGGTTGAAGTAAACGGTCTAATTTTATAATGCATGTAGACTGTTATGAATTAAACGTAATTTTAAGACTTAAGGTGAGAATCAAGACCTGCTTCAGACAAAAGAAGTTATTACATTAGTAAGCTTTTATCATAAGGTATTAAATTACCTCAGTATCAAAGAAGCCTTTTTAGGGAAACAGTGGCTATTTGTTCAATACCAGCACCACTTTTTTTTTTTTTTTTACATTCAGAGCCAAAAAATGCTTCTTGAATAACAGTGCCTTTTATTCAGTGTGTCTGAAAATGTTTAAGGCTGAGCAAGAATTATCCTTGAGTTACATTCCAAAGAAATGCTTTTGCTCCAGTGAACACAAGCAATGTATCCAGTGTTATGACTACATCGTTTGAGCTCTGCTGGGCTGAGGAGGGTGTAGCGGTGGGAAGGGGAAGGAGGAGGGTATGTTGGTGACCATAGTAGAGTTGCCTTGTCACTGGCTTTCAGGGGGTTTAGTCTTTGCCAGTGCACACATACTGTAATCTAGAAAACAGTGCATTCATTGACTGCTGAAACATCTTGCTGGCAAGGAATCTTCAACAAAACTTAACCAAGTATTTAAACTGACATGATACAAAACTCCTTATTTTTATATTGAGGTCCCACTTTGTAGGGTTTCTGTTTGTTTATTCATGTTTACAGTATGATGGCCTCTTTTAGTACAAGGATATGCTATGCCTTAGTGCAGGACTTCCCACTGGTGTCCCCCAAAAGGTTAGCATGTGACCTTCAGGCTTCCATCTAGTTGTCACACCCCTCTTCCCCATCCCTCTCCTACCTGCCTCTGTTGCAGTTGCCCCTTTGGCTGGGATGGGGCTGGAGTGCTGAGCTGCACATGCAACAAAGAAGGGAACCCGGCTTCTCACTGCAGATGGGTGGTGTGCACAGTTGAAGAAGGGGGCCAGGGTGCCGTGCATGCAGCAGGGGGGGAAGTTGGGCTCCCTGTGCTTTTGGGGGTAGAGGGACTGCTATCATGATGCATTCAGCTGGGAGGGAGGGAGGGAGCTGTGCTGCTCATGCTATGCATGCAGTGG